TTTGTTCGTAATCTAAGGGTGAGTTAGAAGAAAAACTTCCCATGTCCATATTTGTGAGTTTCTGAATTGAAGGATTAAGGGCAATGTGTTCGAAGTCCAAGTGTTGATAATTTGCAAAGGCATCCATGACCTGAATATAGAAAGGTGGGTAAAGGTGGTTAATTAATGCATGGAGGTTCTTTCGAGGAAGAACAGTATCATCATATGACTCTTCGTGTGCTCGATCAATGGAGGGAAAAATTGATTCGGCCATAAAAAATGTATCAGTTTGTTCGAATACTAAGGTGGTGGGGGTGTTCAAAAGATTGAAGGAGAGTTTAATGCATATGATGAATGACGGTTGCATTTCTGGAAGAATGCAAAACCCATGCACATTCTAAGACGTTGGAAAGAGACCTTGATCCACTAATATCACCAAGTATTAGGTATATTAGGGCGGGGGGTAATGTTGGCTACATATTTTGTATAAGCCAATTACAATTCGACGCGTGACAAAATAAGGATAATATAGGAAGACTATTCAAGTTTTCGATCCTAATCGTACACGTGGCAATTAGTATTGGTTATTACGAGATCTGAGTAGCAGTGGATCAAGAAAGAGATGCAAGATGATGTGGCTTCAACAGTTATTTACATTTCAAATTCAAATTTATGAGAGAAGCCTAACTGCAAGTAATGACGTAATCAATAATGAAGCTAATCTTAAGGCAACATGATCAGCAATCATGGAGGAGCAGTTCGACGGTTAGAAATGCAGTTCGATGGTCATCCTTGAGCAGTATAAATAGCAGAGAAGGCCCCAGAAAAAGCCCCCAGACTCAGATTCAAAAAACCAGTTTTATTATACGTATTTCAGTTTTACATTTCCAGTCTTACATTTTCTGTACTTTAAATTTATGCACTGCACTTCGTTCATAAGAGTAGTTTCAAGTAGATTGTTGCTGTAAACCCTTACGAGGCTGAGTTTGAATCATTGTAAGTTTTTTCATGTTAATGAAATACTTCAACTGTTCTTCATTTAATTATTATTTTACTTAATTCTCCTAAATCAAGCCACTAGTAAAAGTCCTCTTCATTGAGGCTGAAAGAACTAAAACACAATCGTCTGATAATTGGTTGGCAATTAATTTTCTGTAAGGACTGATTGATCCTTGCTGGCACGCTTGCAATTACAATAATAACCTTTGAAAGCCAAAAATCCAACACATTGCTAAATTTCAAAGGCAAAGTCGTCAATTTGATAAAATATAAACTAATTTGACAAAAATAAATATCAAAAAAATATTTTTGAATTTTTAAAAATTATTTCTACCCACTAAAGATAAAATTATGTAAAATTGATAAATCTTTTAGATATTTATTTAAAGACTAACAACTACCCATTACATGATCATCATCCAAATACATAATAAAAATTAGAGTTAATTACCTAAAAGTCCTATTTACAAATGTTATGGTAGTTTAGGTCCTATTTAAAATTGTTTGAACCAATAAGCTCTACTTAGTAAAGCTGAGAATATCAGCCTTTTTTTAAAAAAAAAAACAGACACAATACAAACTGTGGCAGTGGGTGCATCACTAGTGGTAGCTCTAATTAGAGCTCCTACTCATTTTCTTTTTTAAAACTAAGAATATTGTCAATTTTGCATAGTAATGTTTCAGATAATTATTTCACTAACTGATGGAAAAAAACAGAGCATGAGATTAAATGTTTTTGTCATTCTATTTATTGGTTTGATTCAACTATCCAATAAAATCAAGAATATTAACAGTTTTTTTCAGTTTTAAAACTGAGAATATTATTACTCCCTCCGTCTCAAAATATTAGTCCCTTATTCCATTTTTCATTGTCCCAAAATATTAGTTCCTCTTCAAAAATCAAGTACAAAAATAATATAAATTTTCTATTTTGCCCTTCTTTTAAATTAATAAACAATATAAAAAGTACAATTATTACATTGATATTCCCAAAAAATGTACTATCAAAAGGGTAATTTTGAAAAATCAACTTTTTTCAAATGCAATAATTGTACTATCAAAAAAAGTTAGATTCCCCAAAAGGGACCATTATTTTGGGACAGAGGGAGTATTTTTTTCAGTTTTAAAGTTTCCCCCTCTCCCCCAGTTTTGCACATCAATATTCCATCATCATACACCTTTATAGTCACAAAAATTTTAATTTTGCACAAAAAAATAATTAAGTTTTTTTAATTTTTTCAAAAAAAAAAATTTTTTTGTTTAATTTTTTTTACACATAATTTTTTTTTAAAGTTTTTTCAATTTGAAAGTTGATTTTTAAAGTTTTGAAAATCAAAATAAATGTCAAATCATTATGTTCTTTTATAAATAATCATAAATGATGAACAATCATTATTTGAAGGGCAATTCAGACTATTTAAAATTTAATAGGATTTAAAGGTTCAAAAAATCTTAGTTAGGACTTAATGGAGTATAAGTTTATAAATTAGGATTTGTGTGTAATGGCTCTTAAAAATTAATTTGGTAAAATAAATAAATAAATAAATATCTAAAAGATTTATCAATTTTACATAATTTTATCTTTGGTAGGTAGAAATTATTTTTTAAAATACAAAAAAAATTTATTCACATTTATTTTTGTCAAATTAGTTTATATCTTATAAAATTGACGGCTTTGCCCTTGAAATTGAGCAATTATTTGTCATTATTGAAACAAGATTCAAAATTCATGGTCAAATATGTCACAATTGAAAAGTCAGGAACCAAAGTAACATGAGCCCCAAACTATGGGGACTGTTAGTGTAATTCGCACAAGAAAATAGTATAACTCTATACTTTCTGAATCATAACTAAAAAAAAAAGAAGTCATAACTAAATATAAAAAAGTTATAACCAAATATCTCAAAATAATATCATAATTAAAGATAAAAACTGATAATAATTAAATAAAAAAATAACGTAACTAAATGTGCATATAGTATGAAGATGTGTATAATAGAATTCTCCATAATTCTATTAGTTTAAAATTTATAATTTAATAAGAAAACATAAAAAGCATCATTCCTCTAGTTTTTTTTTATAATTAATATTTATAACTTATTAAAAAAAATTGTCTGATAATCTATATTCAAAAATTGTACCACAACCCATTCACACAATTTCTTTAAAAAGAAAAAATCAATTATTTTGTGAAGAGCAATTACCAAATATTGTGACTTGTTACCACAGACACAGTTGCAAACAGGGGGAGAAAGGGTGACTTGAAAGGGAAGACAGAGGAGGAGGCATTTATAGTGAAATTTCTTAATCCTCACACTTCATTTGAAATTAATAATTTATTTTTACTTTGGTGTCAAGAATTAAAATGTGTAGCAAAAATTGAAAGTTTGTATTGTAAACTCTATACATAAAATAAAATGAATTTAAATCACATATTAATATTTTAAAATAATTTTATAATATTTTCAATTCATTTAAATCTTAGAAATGAAGCAAAAGGAAAGATTGGTATGATGGGGACAAGAAACCTACTAAACATATGTTTGGTGGAGAAATAAAGAGAGATGTGGATTATTGTTGTAATCATTTTTTTTTTCCTTTTGTTTAATGTAAGTCGCCATGTAGTTGGAAGGGTTGGTGTACTGAGATATTTTATTGTACTGTAATAAATTAGCGAAACGTGTGTGCTGGCTTTGTTTCGGATTAGTTGAAATATTGTACATCATATTCTTAATCCTTAAAAGAGGATATATTTGAAATTTTAGATGGCGAAATGTTGGAAGTCCAATGACAATTTCATCATTGAAAGTCTAAAATATTAAATATATTTAACTAATTTATATATTTATATCTTTATATTTTAATTAAAATTTTATTTTAATCCTTACTGTTTTAAATTTGAAATAATAAAAATCATAGCAAAATTTCGATCAAATTGTAAGAATTAAAAACTTAATTTACCCAATATATTTTAGGAGGAATTACAAGGCAAAAAACATAAAAATAAAAACACAAATTTATGAAAAAATTTACAAACTTATTTATTAATATTTACAAAATTTTGTTAATTTGTAATTATTTTTTATTGCTCAAAATCACTCAATCAATATCTCAGCCACTCTTAGTCTTACACCTAACTGACAGGGTAATAATGCCCATCGAACTTAAAAAATAACAATAATAATAATAATTGATTGATTTTTTTTTTTTTTTTTTTTTTATAAAAAAATTTCAATGTTAAACTGAGGAGTTATGCTATTATAATACTCATTAGTTGACAAGTGTTTCTATTTGTTTTTTTTAATCCTCACTTCTTTGGACTATTATCATCAAAATTGATCCCACTGATTTTTTTTTTTTTTGATACTTTTATTCGCATAATATAAAAAAATTTCAATACACATAATGTGTTGTTTGGATATCAATTTCTAAATAAAAAATGAATTATTCATAAATAAATCTTGCTTAATAGTTAATATCCATACAACTGATTTTTGTTTAAAAGTTGATGTCCAAATTTGAATGTCGATATCCGAACAATATAAATAAATGGTGTGCATTAAAATAAAAAATGATGTGCAAATAGAATGATCCTAATTTTTTTTTTTTTTTTTTCCTTTTGCACACCCACCACAAACAAAAATTGAAGAGAATGGAGGTCCAAAGAAAAAAAAGGTGGGGGGACAAAATAACAGCACTCTTAATCAAATCACATTGGATACTAATTTCTCTGTGAATTTTTGTTACTGAACACATTATTTGATCTGTGCTCTATTGAACCCATCTAGTAAGCCACCAATCTATTAACGCATTCAAAAAGAGATCATATTGAAAGAACATATTGGAGCCTAATGAGGATCAAAAGACACAAAATATTTATTCTATGTTTGAATCATAAATTTGTGTATGGATTTAAAAATAGAAAGGAAAAGGGAAATAAATTTATTAAAAAAAAAAAAAAAAATTGAATCATAAATTTGTGTATGGATTTAAAAATAGAAAGGGAAAGGGAAATAAATTTAAAAAAAAATATATATATATATATATATATTCATTCACATTTCTACCACTTTTTCCCTTTATGTTTTTTTAAATCTCTACCCAAATCTATAATACAAACAGTATTAAAAGATGGATGATGTTGCACCTATGCACTGACCATGGAATAGGTCTGAACCAAATATGATAAAATCTTCTTGTAGTCACCAATTTGAGTGCCAGTGTTGGGATCAATAATGTAAGGCACCTGCAAAAATGAAAAGGTAACCAACTTTTCTAATCAATGCTCCAGTTTGATGCATTCAACTACTATTTTACAACCCTTGTCAATGAACACATAAAATTAAATTAAGCAGAATATTCTTAAGCTACCATGCATTGAACTACTATTTTACATGTTTTTCACCTTTCTTTTCTGTTTTTCAGAAGCCTCTGTTAAGACAGTCCCAAGGACCTTTCTTAACATCATTATTATATTTGCTTGAAATGAAAATTAAGTCATAATGATTTGGCAAGAACCTTATGGATTTCAGAAATATCATCAGACTAACCTCTTTTGATCCAGATGCCTCAAGTAGTAAATTCGTTCGTCGAGATCCCTCTCCCACGGTTTGAAGGATGTAAGGAAGCTCCAATTCACAAAGTGCTTCACGCACAATTCGAGCATACTGAAAAGGAAATAGCGTGAAAAAATATTTTTAGATATATGACACAAAGTTGCACTAACATTATATTTTTCTGGTGCACAACAAGGAGACTGTACAGGAATTCCGAATCCTTTTTTTGCACTAACATTATATTTTTCTGGTGCACAACAAGGAGACTGTACAGGCATTCCGAATCCTTCTATCTTTCGTTTCATTCTGCACCAATTTAGTTTTCTTAACGAAGACTTTTTTTGCCCTCCCTCTTTGGGATATGACTTAACTAGGATTTCATCGACCAACAATTCAAATCAACAAAGCCTTGTCCCAACTATTTGAAGAAAAAAAAAACAAAGCCTTGTCCCAACTATTTGAAGTTGTCTACATGAATTTTGTTTCGTAATTTCTTTCGAGCAAGAATAGAAATAATCTATCCAGAAATAGGCTGTCAAACTACCACAGCCCTCCTTTCTCTGGGCTTATGGAGTTACAAAATTTTTAATCTAGAAAAAAGAAAAGAAAAGAAAGATGAATGATTGACTCACATAAACAATCCAAATTCATTGTCTTACTGGATTATTTTCATAGGAGAAAAGTTCCAACTTCTTGGATGGTGACTCTGTTCTGGCCTTTTCCCATAATGTCATTCCTCTACCTGCTCGAAGAAGAGTTGGCACCCATCCTGTGAGTAGTGTGCTGTGTGATGAAAGAGGACTAATTAGAGAAAAATGAATTTGCAAGAAAACAGCAAAGCCACAAACAAAATCTAAAACATATATCATTCAAAGGCAAGGACACTTGCGACATTCCATCAATTGTTAATGTCTTTGATGTGCTTTTCAGCAGCCATTTTGACAATTATGAACCATCATCATCATCATTACTTTTGAAACAGGTAAAAAGAATGACGGGAACTATTAAAAACTTGTTACACCAAGACCCCGATATTGCTTGCTTCAATATAGTTTTCATCTAATCCTATCAGTCCAAATTTCTTACTAAACAATTTTGGTCCTAAACTATCAAAAGAAGTGTTTTCTAAGAATCTCCTAAAGCATTTTGGTTTTCTTCCTTGAACACTTGATAACTTGCAACTTAATAATTCATAGAATGAACTTCAAATATAATAAGACCAGGCACTGATACAATAAAGGGGCTCATATTTGTTACTTTATTGTTTTCAAAGGAATTCTCTACAAAAAGATCATTTATACTCGAGAAAAAGCATTGCCTGAAATATGAAGTACCCCAAACCCAAGCATTTACATTTTGAGTCTAGTCCTCGATTTGTATTTGATTCTAACTGCATGATAGTTTATCAGAATGTCATATAAATTTGGAAGAGACCACTATAGTAATGTGTTTTTTATGTTTGAAAATAGAAAACAGAAAATATATTATTGATTCTTCTATAGTGAGCAACAAATGAACATCGGCATGATGCCTGAAGTGAACACGAGCTCTCAAAAAGAAACTATTGAGAAATATTACTATGGTTTAACATGCAACTTCTCTAGAAAAGTGAACGTTGTGGAAAATTAGTGTCAGCACAAGCTGTAAAATATACATGCTAATAACTATTAAAGAGATTTCAATTTGCCAATGAGAAAAGAAAAATATAGGTGAACATAAAAGGTATCCCAGGCAGTGGTGGAGCCAGAAAACTAAATCAGAAGGGGCACTTCTTGATTACAACTTTAGTTTTTTTTTCCATAACCAACAATAAGAAGATAATAATAATTTTTGAATTAATATTAAGTACAAAAACTTAAATAAATTATTACAAAAGTATTTAACATAAAATTTTACAATTAACTTCAAGTAAAATAAAAAAAAAAATATTACGTGCAACTAGTGTATCATGGACAATGTAAAAACAGTTATATATTTAAGTCTTAAAATTAATTATATAATGGTAAGATAAATCAAATTTTTACAAAATTTGAATAAAAATTTCATATAATAGTGATATCACGTCATTATTGACATAAGGTATAACCAACCAGTAGTAAAGCAACATATGAAGGGTGAACTCCACATGCAAATATAACTAACACTCTAGTAATTTTTACATATATATAGTGAGATTAATTATATTTGTATATCAATAATGATGGATATTACCTTTATATTGAGATTTTTTCATAAAATTTTCCTACATAAAAATATTATTCGTAGTAGTCACTTCATTTTCAATAAAACAATCACAATTGTTTTCAAAAATTTAAAAATGCGCTTGACATTTTATTCTAAATATTATTTTTGTTTAAAATTTTATTTATATACATATGTAAAAAAAAAAAATCAAAAATCCAGGGGGGCACATGACCCCCCTAGGCCCCATGTGGCTCCGCCACTAATCCCAAGTAATTTAAATTGATTTTTTTTTAATAATGCAAAAAAAACAAAATGATGTTGAAGTAAAGGTGAACTTTTTATGGATTTATAAAATCAAAATAAAGATGCAATCACGGTATCGGCTAGCAAGAAATAAATTCATCATAATCATTGAATTTATAGTCCAAATATATATATATATACATTGTAGTCCAAACTTTGTCCATGACAAACAAGAAATTTGCACGGTGTAATACCTTTCCAGAAGACCCATTGAAAGACTTCTTCCTTTACCATACTGCTGGAATAAGTACTTTACAATCTCACCTAGCAGACAAAGGTGCATGATATACAACTCAGAGACAAAAAACAACCATGAAGCATGCAAAGAATAAAGTCTGAACATAAGAAGAAATCTCAAAAGTTACAGAGAAGTTTGAATGCTCAAAACAATGTGTAAAGGGAAGAGCCAAATAACCATGCATAATGCCGCTCATAAAAATGGACCATCCCATCAATAAATGCAACTAGGATCTTCAAAACTGAACAACAGAACCATATCAAAAGTGTCTGATCAGCAGGGGCAGCTACACTAGTATCTTACGGTATTCAATTGTTTGTACATTTTTATAATATAAATCAACCCATTCCTCAAATTGGAACACTCAAGTTCACATAATTTGAATACCCATCCTACAAATCTTGAAAACCCAACTTACTCACTTCAAGCTTTGCACACCCAACCCATAACTCACTCACAATCTCTTTTAATTTTGATTGTGATATACTCATCAAAAGCATTAGTACCCAGAAAATGACTGTAATAACCCGACCCTCGCACATGATTTCTGTTATATTCTTAGTCCTCGATTGGTACTTTTAAATGTTTACTGTGTAGTTCCGTGAAAAAAAATTATGATTAAGGAAGTGAAATCCATGTCTACGAATGTCTATCTGTCTCACAAGAAAACCATTTGTCACCATTAACACGTTTAAATTAGAAATTGGAAGCCTTAACAGCTTAATTAGCTGAAATTGATTATATATCTGTGATCAGCATAATTTTTAGGTAATATTAAGCATGTTTGCGAAATTTTAATTTTGGAATGGTTTAACGATTCATTTTTGTCTTATATGCCTTGTTTATATATACTTCCAAGACTTCATGAGCCTTAGTCAAAAAACACAAAAAAACGTGATTACCATTTTGGGGGAGAAAAGAAGAGAAAGTGAAGAAGAGAAATCGGGAGAGAAGGGATTCAACAAGAAAGCTTGGCAAAATTGTTAGAGGTGTAGGATTGAATTCAAGGTAAGCTCAAATCCTTCTTATCATGGCCACTTAGAGTTTGTAATTGATGTGTATGTTTGCTTCATGTCTAATTCATGCTTGATTAATGAGGGTTTCTCTCAATAGGTTGCTTAGGCATCTAGATTGGGTGTGGTAGGAAATTATACTTCAATCTGTGGTTTTCTATCATCACTTCATGGAATTATGCATATATCATGTGTTATGTTTCAAGGATATGAAGAACTTGAATCCAAGAATGGAATTAGAGGGAGAGATGGCTTGTTGAAGCTTTTAATCTTGGTTAATTTATTATACTCAAGGTAGAATCCATGTTATAGTGATGTTAGGTGGGAATATTGCATTAACCTAACCTTGGGTTGCATATAAAAATGGAGTGAATACCAGGTTGGGACTCGAATGGAAGTTCAGAATTTCAGAATTTGCTCGGTCCGCTCGAGCGGCGGAAAGTCCGCTCGAGGGGGAAAAACCACCTCTTAGCAGTTTTGTGCATTTTACAGTCCGCTCGAGCGGGGGACTCTTTTTCAAGAAAAATTAAATGTCGGTTCAGTTTTAAATGCTTGTCTCTCTGGTATTTTTAGAATATTTTATAGATGATTTTAAAGCGGTTGTAAATGCATGCAAAGTGTAAGACTCAGGAAAAGAAAACTAATGTATTAATTGGGTGCAGGGCACATTCCAGAAGGAAGCAACACGCCACCTCAACACTGTGAGTAGTAGTACCTATGAAATGTTACGCAATCATGTTAATGTCTCAAGCATGTAATGTACTTATGCATGTTTAAGATATGCTAATGGTAAAACATGTAAAGAAAAGCATTTACAAGGGCCTCGTGCCACAAGTTTCAAGTGAATTGCAAGGGCCTTGTGCCATATGTTCAAGGGCTTCGTGCCATCATGTTTCAAGGGCTTATAGCCATGTCACAGGATTAGGCCTAGGACCATTAAGAACTAAATGCAGAATCAGACACACCAAGTGCATGCTGCATCTTTTATGTATTGATGTATTACTACTCATTGAGCCCGGCTCACTCTCTATTTCGTCTGTTTCTGTAGGTCATCAGTCAGGGGGTCAATCCTAACTTTGACGCCGTCCCTTTTGTCAACCTTTACATGTCCAGGCACCATACTAGGCCATTTATCTTTGTGAAGCTGCTAAGATATGGGGTTTACTTTTGAGGACCATCTACGGATGTTGTACATAACTTTCATATTCCTTTTGTTATGCCCAATTATCGGGCTAGGACTGTAAATGTATATGTTGTACGCGATATCTAGGGCTATAGTTCTAAACTTTGTCCGCTTTTGATGATATATGTAATGCATGAGATCCTGGCATGTTAGAAATAGCTCAATGGAGTATGCTTGTATTTATGTTATATGAATATTTTATGCTTCCGATAAGGCCCCGTACGGCATGTACATCAGTTTTTTTTTGTCCGTTTTTGCATAGGTCATGCCCGAACCTTTAGGGGCGGGTTATTGGGGTGTGACAATGACTATATATTGAGGCCTCAATCAGCCCACTTTAATCCAAGAACAATAGAAGATCATATATGGTGCAACAAATAGTTGAAAACAAGAATATATGCATCTATGCACAATGGAGTCAAATTACTTACTGCTTTCATACATTGATTTTCCAGTATTCGGGTCAACAAGGAAAGGAAACCTGCATGAGAACTTCTATTTCAAATACTAGAGATGATAACAATGATAATCATAAGAGAAACAGTGTATGATTTAAATGGAAGTTTCCACTTATAGAATTTACAGCAGATAATGCAGATGTATTGAAAGACATTAGCAAAGATAAGCAAAATGTTAATGAGTTCATTTTGTATTATGTTATGTGATCATCCACGTTTGAAATAGAAATCTGATTGGCCGTCACCTCTAGAATCATGAACAGCGATAATGACATCTAAATGGGATGACATGAAACTATGTCTCTCAAATAAGAGGCGATAAAAAAGCAGAAAAATATATTATCTACAAAAGAAATCCCATGAAAACATTACATACTGTTCTTTGCCACCCAGTCTTCTAACCATTTCCCTGTGTCTTATAGAACCTTTTGGGCAAGGATAGATCTGCACATATATCAAATTTATACTGATTAATTTATATATATATATATATAATATCAAACAAAAATGAAGAATTTTCAAGAAATTCAGTTTTGGAGCAATTTAGTTGTATAATAGGCTGTCAAGAGAGGCATATAAAGAGGCCTGCACCAGACACTCCCTACTTTTTACAGTTGTTTTTCCTTTTTAATCTTCCTAGATTTTCTTTGTCTCCATCCATTATACTAGGTTAAACAGCTAATAGAGATTGTATTTGAAAACTTAAGTACATTTAAATATAACTTGATAATACCAGAGTAACTATTTTTGTGAAGAGTATATAATTAGAAAACTCAAGAACGAATAATTGGAGTTGAACTTAAGATATTTGAGCCAAAATATCTAAGGGGGGGGGGAATTTAAATGAAAATCTTTGAATGCAACTCATGGAAACTAGTCAAAAGTATGTAGATTAGGCACAACAGATCTGCTGTTAAAATAATTATGAAACGAAGCAAGGGAAGTGACGAAAATTTCTGTATAAATTCACATTTCTCTATCAAATTTTTTATGCAGCGATGGTGTCCACAGCTTTCAGCCTATCTATAGTATCCAACTCAAGTGCTCATGTTTAATTTTTGAATTTGAAGATGAATTCTTAGACAGCCTTTCAAAAATGACCAATATCCAGTAAAATCATAGAAAACAAACTAGCCACTCTGAAAATCAGAAAGCTGCCTCTAGCATATACTTTTCTGCTTGTTTTATTTATTTCTTTTTCCTCTTGGGGTGGTGAAAATACTGTTTAAAAATAGGTATTGTACAAACAACCATATCGTGATCCAGACTTTGATCCCTACCCTCCCACACAGGGTTTGAAAAGAAATGCCGCTCAAGCGAGATGGAAACTTGCAGAACATGGTTAATGCAAGACAAGAATTGACACCTAATTGTATCGATAGAACACATTGCTCACCTCTACAGAAAGATCAAGCTCAGTTATGGCCTCTCGAACCCTCCTGCAAAAGGGGCATGCCTCTGTTGGCAACCACTTATAATAAGTTATTCCCAAAATTAAATGTACAATAATCATTATCTATACTGTGTGGTGCTAAAACTTAGTTGGAAGTATTCTTAAATGGTTAGATCCACTGCGTGAGCTGAAATTTATTTGGTTTTCACGTCACCGTAGATCTAACTAATAGTTACAGTTACAATGTGCCGCCTCAGGAAATTCTCAATCATTGTGTCCAAAAGGAAGATTGAAAATAAATCTTTTCCATCTGTCAGGAGAAGCACTTGGGGGTAGCTCTCTTTATGATTAGGAAGAAGCTTACCAAATTCAAAAAGCTGCAAACGCTTTAGAGGATCTACTGTGCTGATCTCTTGGCTGTCTGAACTGTCTGATAGTGATCTTGATCCCCATGGCAACCTTGCCAAGGTAGACAAGGAAGATGTTGCTACCTATGATCCGCCAAAATGTACATAGGCATCAAGGGGAGAGCTAGAAAGTTTAGATATTGAAGCCTCCCATAGCAAAGTAAATGTAATTATTAATACACATTATATTCACATAAAATATTCCAAAATAAATAAATTTTTGTGTTCATGTAGTTTTCCCTACCCAACTGAGCTGTTCAGATATCGAAGAGGAGGTGTTCTTATCAATATTGTCTCCATACTCTACAAAATAATTAAACCAATCATTTATGTTTATGCCAACTAGGGACTTCATTTTCAAATTGTCAAATGGTTCCCTCATACTTGCGTGACAATCCTTACATTCATTTCCTCCTCTAATAATTTACACAAGAGTGGGTAGATTCTTGACTTCCTCATCCTGGGAGCAGTTTTGAATGTTTCTCAGTATATTCTCCCTAACGCTATGTTTGGTTGGAAGATTTGGGAAGGGATTTGAAAAAGAAAAGAGAAAATGTAGTGAAATGAGAATAAAATATACCTACATTTCACCTAGTTTCACACACTTTTTCCCTTTCCATTTCCAAATCCCTCACCAAATCTCCCAACCAAACACAGCACTAGTTGCCCCCTGATTATACCCCAACTTTATTGGTTTGTATATGTTTTTTACAGGAAAAATTCCTTCCAGGTACAAGAATGTGTAACGACCCCAAAATCCGTATTAGAAATTACCTTTATACACTTGTGGGTTAATGTACTTTAATTTAATGATATCTGTTCGAATTGAGGAATTATCTGTTGAGTTACGACTTTAAAATTGGAATTGACGACCTTTATGGATTTAAAAATTAAAATTGAGTACACAGATATGCGAATGGGAATTTTTAGAGCTATTTGGAAAAATTAATTGGAAATTTATTTTGTCTGATCCGTTAAGGTGTGTTTGGCTGGTTAATTTTGCACTGCAAATTAAAGGCCTTAAAGGTTTCAGAAACTAGAACGGAGTACATAGTTATGATCAGTATAATTTTTTGTCATTTGAGAAGTTTAATTGAAATCTGATTTTGTACGATTCGTAAGGGTGTGTTTAGCTCTCCCAAATTGTGATAAGCTTATATATAGTTAGACGTATAGATATATGAATGAGATATATGAGTTGAACTTAAGATATTTGAGCCAAAATATCTAAGGGAGAGAGAGAGAATCGTGAAAGAGAGAAAGAGAGAGAAAGAGAGAGAAAGAGAGACAAAATTCTCTAAGAGAAGCTCAACATTCATGGTGGCTTTGAAGATGATTGAAGAGAATTGAAGAGAGAGAAAGAAAATCAACCATGAAGCTTGGGAAAATTGAAGAGATTAAGGAAAAAGCAAGGAATTGAGTTAAGGTCAAGGTTGTTAAGATCGGGATCCTACATAGGATCGTTTTGGGGGTCTGGAGGATCAGATCGTAGGATCGGATCGGGGATCGTAAAATCCTACCAAAACGATGAAAAAATGCAATAATTCTTATATGTCTAACTAATACTATCAAAATACATATAAAATGACCCAGAAAAACTTGAGAATGTAGCTCAAATGGTAGAGCTCTCATACTTATAAGCAGATCGAGGTTCAAATCCTCGCATTTTCCCTTGTGTGCCTTACTCACTAACAATAATCAATTCAAATATACATTTTGCACATTTTTTTAAACAAAGAAAACATAATAAAAGAAGGTGGCAATTCAAGTTGTCATTCAAACATTTTCCTCAAATCTTAACAAAAGAACATACTAAAAGAAAATAGCAATTCAACTTCAAGTCTTCAAGTTAACAGAAAAGGGGAAAAAAATGTTCACATCATATTTGGCAATGTAAATATTCATATTTGACAGTATAAATGTTCACATCATGAAACATTTTATATTGTCAATGTAAATATTATTGTACGTTTCATCCTATTACTATTAGAGATATTTTAATAACTATGTTACTTATAGGACTTATTAAAATATAAAAAAAAAAATTAAATTAAATAGAACATAAGTAGGTAAAGAGGTATTTATAAATAAATGCCTCTAAATAATAACAAAAATTATGTAGTATAATAATATGTTTTTTATTATTAAAAACATCTATAAAATAATCATAAATAAATTATTTACAGATATTTTTATGTTAAAGTGGTTTAGTTGTGGTTTGGTTCCTACAAAAAAAAAAAAATTTAAAAAGTGTAATTTGGAAGAGAATCGTATTATTTGCTCTCTTTTTTATTTTTAAATTGTAGCATTGGGTCTACATGGACTGGAATTTTTTTTTTTAGATGGTAACACTGCTAAAACCTAAGGAAACAAAGGCCAGTTTAAGAGGGTTAAAAGTTGGGGTTTTTTCTTTTTTTTTTTAAGACTATATTTAATGTGTTGTTTCAGAAAAGGGGAAAAGGGGAAAAAAATGGAAGAAGACGAACAGAGAAGAAGAAAAAGAAAAAGAAGTCAAACAGAGGAGAAGAGATGGAGTTGAAGCACAGAGAAGAAGAGAAGAATGAGTCGAACAGAGAAGAAGAAGAAGACGAAGAGAAGAATGAATCGAACAGAGAAGAAGAAAAAGAAAAAGAAGTTGAATAGAGGAGAAGAGATGGAATCGAAGCACAGAGAAGAAGAGAAGAAGAAGAAGAAGTAGAAGAAGAAGAAGCACAGAGAAGAAGAGAAGAATGAGTCGAACAGAGAAGAAGAAGAAGACGAAGAGAAGAATGAATCGAACAGAGAAGAAGAAAAAGAAAAAGAAGTTGAATAGAGGAGAAGAGATGGAATCGAAGCACAGACACAGAGAAGAAGAGAAGAAGAAGTAGAAGAAGAAGAAGCATACCTGGAATCTGGATGGAGGCTGGATGGAGGCTGCTCAGCTCTCGTGACCAACTTTCCCAATCTTTTGCCCTAATCTTATGTCATGGGTCTTTAGAGAAGAGAGAAGGCATCAAACCTGTAATAAAAATATCAGAAAAAAAGGCAAAAAATAGGATCGCATAGGATCGCGATCCAAATACGATCCTACGATCCCATGTCCGATCCCACCGATCCTGTTACGATCCTGCACAAAATATCAAAAAAAAAGGCAAAAAATAGGATTGTATAGGATCGCGATCCAAATACGATCCTACGATCCCATGTCCGATCCCACCGATCCTGTTACGATCCTGCACAAAATGCGATTCATCATGCGATCCAGATCGATTCTCCAAAAATGAATCGTAGGATCGTACGATCCTACGATCCGGATCGCGATCTTAACAACCTTGGTTAAGGTATGTGGCTATAACTATTGTCTTTGTAGATAATTCATCTACTACATGAAATCAAGGAATGACTTGGAAGATTAACATGTAAATGAACAAGTGTGGTGGGTTATGAAAGAAATGGGTTTAACTCAAGGGATTGAACCTTGATTGCCTTAAGTTTGTTTGAATTGGGTTCAATCTTAAGAATGATTTGTGGAATAACAAGATTGGGTGTGAGAACCAACCATGTGTAAGATATATTTACATGATTTTGGGCACATGTTGTGGGAGTTTGATTATATAGAAAGATGAGACTTGAATTTCTAACTTAAGGCAAAGATTGATTTGTTTGAGATGAAATAATACTTGAATGATGTTGGTTTATTATGTTGTGGGGTAATTTTACATGTTTTTGAGTGATTAGAGTTGAAACCAAGCTTAGAAATGGAAAGAACAAGTATTAGAGCAAACAACATTTTCGGACAACAGTTTTTGCCCAGAGCCGCACGTGCGGCGGGTCTTCCCGCACGTGGGGCAGTCCATTTCCCACACCAAAGTTTGATTCTGCTAAAAAAGCACGTGGCCCTGCACGTGCGGCCCAATTCCCACACGTGTGGCCTTGTTTCCCGCACGTGTGGGACAACTCTCTTTCAGCCAACTTCAAATAAGCATATCTCTTGTATCCGGATTCTGTTTTGAGTGATTCTTGAGCCTAAATTCAAGCCCCGGAAGTCTAGTTTCCAATGATGGTGGCCTCACTCTCAAATTCTTAGAACACAAATAGATATGCCCAAATTAGTGAAAGTTGTTCACTTTCTGTCTACCGGTTTTGTACCATTTCTTCGTCTAAACCATTTTCCTATCGATTCCTCCTATTTTCTAAGACATGGATTATAACCTACTGAGGACTAATGAGTTTAGAACCAATATGACTAATTGATTAAAGAGCAAAAAAAGGAATCGGGTAGGTGCTTATGTTATGCTATGTGCATTATGTTTGTAGGTCAAGACGAGGACATCGTCCCATTACTACCAGAAACCTATCACTGTGAGTAATAGTAGTATAACGATATGTTTTCCTTACTTCCTATGATTATGATTTATATATCGTTGCTTGTGAATGGCATATATTATGGACATAGTGCTTTGATTGAATTAATTGACATGATTGAACAATGGTACTGATATGGACCTAAGGTCGTTTTGTTCCTATTAATAGAAGTGGGCCTGGGGCCGTTATGATATGAATTGTTTATGTCTCATAGCCGTAAGGCCGAGGGAGATGGAGACATGCCGATGTTCCGTCTACCCTCTAATAATATGAACTAAATATGACTAATGGCTCTACGCCAAGGGAGATGGACACATACCGATGGTCCATCTTCCCTACGTTGCTCTGGACAGCTGTCGTTATGTGGGCCTAAGGCCGTTTCGTATCATATGTGAGCCCGAGGCCGTTCTGTATTACATGTGGGCCTAAGGCCGTTTCGTATCAAATATTGGCCCAAGGCCGTTCTATATTACATGTGGGCCTAAGGCCGTTTCGTATCATACATGGGCCCGAGGCCATTCTGTATTACAAATGAGCCTGAGGCCGTTTTGAAATATGATTATGAATAAGATCTATGTATGGTTGGATATGCATATTTACATTCTCTAAGGCTATGCTCGTTTAACTAACCTCCTTACATTGTTGTTATTCACTGAGCCTTACTCACTCTGTTTCATGTATATTTATGTAAGTGAGCCATCGGAACCGACACTAGAGTTTGAGATCCACCTGTTTGCCAAGCCGCCCGGGCTACGCCTCCGCGTTGAGGCCTTAATTCTGTATTGGGATCTATTTAATTTAATTATATAATTTATTGAGTCTTATGTAAATGTGTGTGTGAGATCTGTATAATTCCGTGGTTATATATGTGCATATGAAAGCGTATTTAAATGCTTAAGTTACTCTAAACCTTCGTGTATGCACGAGCTCAATGGGCATTTTATCTATGTTGGCATTTGCTTCCGCTTAAGGCCCCGTATTTGAGTACACATTATTATGAAATTTCGTTTTGAGGCCTAATCACAGGCTGGTCATGGACCAAACTTTTAGGGGCGGGTTTAGATCGTGCCAGAAGGTGTGGTTAAAAGTGGAAGGCTTTTGGGGAGATGGTTAAGGGGTTATGGGATTGGTACAAAATTGTTGGGCTAAGCCAGTTCATGTTGGTATGCATCAAGATATACCAAGAAAAGCTAAAGAAAAGAATTACTTGAGTACCTCCAAAAAATAGTTCCGTTTTTTAGATGGATCTCCTCCCTGCAAGAAGCAAACAAGCACACATACAAACAAAGGAAAAAAAACAAGAACAGTGTCAAAAAGATCCAAAAGCCCTCCAACACAACATGATTGTAAATAAATAAGAACAAGCACGCGATATTCTATAGCAATCTTCTTCCTTTTTCTTCTCTTAAAAAATAAAAATAAAAGTAAAAATCCTGGCAGTGTAAGCACAAAACGTGAAGAGAATAGAATTGGGGATGAAGAAGAGACACTGACAGAGAAAATCTTGAGCAAGGGACAGAGTACAGACAAGAGGCTAGTTGATGGGTTGCTGCTACTACTATCTTGGGAAATTTCATCATTTTCCTGAGAAATTTGGGTAGGAGGGTTTTGGAAATCCCTTTCTGGGTCAGAAGAATTTGCACGAAATCTGTTTCTGCGAGAATCCCAATTCCCATTTATCGAGAATCTTTGAGAAAAAGACGAGGGTTTGAGAGTGGGAAGTGGAATTAGAATGGTGGAGAAGGATAAGCAGCCATAGATTTTGGGAGAAGAGTGAGGTGGTGGTGGTGGTGAGAGAAAGAGGGAGGAGTGAGAGTGAGTGCTCGTCACGGATAACACCGCCATGGTTCAGGTAGTGGTTGTCTTATGACCTGTTTGGATGATTTTATCAATTGTTTAGATAATTATAGAGATGAAAAATGACGAGAAAATAATGGAGCATAAAGTAAAAGATATCAACTTAAAAAAAAATAATAATTATTGTTTAAATTATATTATTTAAATTATTTCTAAACACAAAAGTAAATAAAATAACAAAAACATGTCCTTGTTTATTCGGTATTTGTCCAAATAAGATGGTAAAAAATCACAATTTTTTTTTTTCTTACCTTGCAATTCAAATAGAACTTTAATCTTTTATTACAATTACATTGTATATTTTGATATGCTGTACATAAATAAAAATCTCTATTTTATTTGACAAAATTATAATATATCATTAAAATTTAAAATTAACGATTTGCAAGTACACCTATCCCTCGCCCTCGCCCTCCCCCTCTTCTCTCTCTAACACAATCAATGCCGCTCCCCTCCCCCTCCTCAACACCAACTCAACTCCATTGCCAGCACTTCGCCAAAAACTTGGGACTCAAAACAAAAGCTTTTCTCCTCCAGCCAAGGACTTGGACCTACTTCCGGGCTTTCAAATGCTTGTACAAGAAGCCCCATCAGTGTCTATCTGTACCTTTACTAGATTAATTGAATGACCTCCATGAATTGGATTTCAAGCTAGAACAAAAATATACATATATGTTTGGCATGCATGATTCAATTTGAATGCAATATCTTCCACATGTCAACTAGAATATAGCAAAGGTTTTCCCACTTCAGAGCCTGGGCTGGCCAAGAACAGAAGATTTGTGTAATCATCCATGCAAAGAAAACTCTGATATTTGGATTCGCATGTTTACATTTTCATGGAGTCCCCAGAACAAACCTGTTATTAGCCCACTGGTTCATGCACAGAGAGTATAACAAGCCAACTTTAATTCAAAACTCGCAATGCTTACCTTATTTCCTTGTCAGATCCAAAAAGCCAGTAATGGTATACAAGGCATCATCAATCAATTGATTCATGCAACATGCATAAAGTTCTAGAAACAATCATTATACACCAAAAACTACTTTCATTACCAATTTACTGCAGGCAGTCGAGAGGATTCAAAATTCCATATAATAATGGAAACAATCAAGTTTCCAAATAAAAAGGATTCAGAAAGCTCACGTGAGTCTCTAGTAATACAAACAAAGAACTATGATAATTTTACTACCAAGAAATGTAGTAGTTCACAACATTCACTTCAAAGCCTTACTCACTCAAAAATATTGCAGTCGGATTTCCTGGAGATGGTGGGTTCTGACTTAAAAGTGAGACATGTGAGCCCGCTTTTTTAACAGCATCAGGATCTGCAACGGACAAAATCTCCAACCGCTCGAGACCTAGCTGTAGCTTGACCAACTCCGAGTTCTCCTCTAGGACATCTTTTTCACCAAAGGGCAGTTTCAAATCCAAAGCCTGAACACCAACAGCAATGACCTCGTCTTTCTTGAACCTCAAGAATGGCATACAAAGCTTTTGGATCTGCTTAAAATTTGCTTCCTGCCCAATTGCACTCTTCTGCAACGCCTCGATAATCTCTTGGTCAGGTGCAAAACTGCACGTGGCACTGTTGAATTTGCTTCCAAGTATGTTTAAGCATTCCTTTTTCCATCCGTCGTATTGCTCATTCACAAATATTAGTCCAACCATTGGTTTGTTTTGATGACTCGGTACATTGACTACCTTAGCTTTCTTCGAACCAGACACTTGTTTCTGAAGCAGCTTCCTCATTGAGACAATTGAGTCTTGCAAATATTTATTGGCCTTTTTAAGGGTAAGATCAGGTAAATCAGCTTCAGGCCACCCTGCTTTGATGACTAAGCCATCCTTCTTCAAAAGCTCCTTCCAAACATATTCGGCATAATGTGGGCAAATCGGAGTTATAAGCCTTGTTTGAACATCCATAAACCGCCACAGTAGGTCACGGTTCATGCCCCCTGTGCCACAAGAAAACCTGTACTCATCCCGAGCAGCCTGCAGATCATAGAACCCAGTTTTAAGAGCTTCCCGGAACAGGTACTCACTGTAGTTCTTCTCCGTGATTTTCACAGCAATATTTATCTCATTAGCAAATACACGATCAGCATAAGTAGTAGTAGGGGGCCCACTTCGTAAAGATGTCTCGGCCGCAAGAACCTCTTGCATCCATGCTATCTCTTTTGTGAGCCTTAAGATCGCAGCATTAGCTGTTTCAAATACAAAGTTTGCATCATCCATTCCATCCCCTGCATCAGCAAGAGAGAATCTAGTGGCATCAGCTGAAAACTCCTCAATAGCTTGCCGTAAAGTCCTGAAATTCCCCGTGGACTTGGACATTTTCTCTGAATTTAGCATAATGTGCCCATTGCATCTAAACCCTTGAGGCCAATGATGCTTCGGAAAAATTGCCGCGTGGTTATAGATGCTGAAAGTGAGATGATTCTGAATCAGGTCTTTACCTAAAAGGGCAAATTCATAAAGTCAGTATGATGACATCAAGAATGGGGAAACAAAAGTAAGAAAGAAAAATAGGATGTATGTAATACCAGTGTTGTCTATCAATCAACAGGAAAAAAGAAAAAAAAGAAGATAATTATGATGCTGATGATGATGATGATGATGAAAATTTTACCCAGAAGGCGGTGGTCATGGAGCTGGAGTGTGTATTTGTGGGGGGGTTTGGCTGACGGTGTACATGGTGTTAGCAAGCATCAATCAATAAGAAAGGGAAAAATGCATTTTTAAAAAACAAACAAACACACAGAGAAAACAAAAATTAAATATACACCTGAAACCCGAAGATCAAACGGATACCAATATTCAAACTCCTGTTTCATCTTATTGAGGAGAGAAGAAGGTATATCTGATGAATTAGGGTAAGGGCCACTGCAGAACAAGAAATCCCAGACCTCATCTGTCAACTGCTGTGGTTTCACTGATGAAGTATCAGAGCCATACATATCTCCTTTCTGTAACATATGACAGACAGTATAATATGCCATGTAAATGGTTGAATCAGACAAAGACTCCACAAGAAACTCCTCATCCCAAGGAATACGAGTCCCAAGCCCAAAATGGCGCGAACATGCCCATTGATTTAGCCAGCTCAATGTATGCTCAAAACCATGCCGAGTCTCTTCACTAAAGAGATTCATACTAGCCAAGCACTTCTCTGCCTGCTCCTTCCAATTTGACTCCCCATAAGTGATGTACCACTGATCAGTCAGAGCCACAACGCACTCATCCCCTGATCTTGAAATGACCTTCTTCTCAGGTTCACTGTACATCACAGCTTCTCCAAGCTCTAGAAGCCTGTTCTTGATCAAATTCTTTGCATCCTGGACTCTCATCCCTGCATATTCTCCAGCAAGCATAGTTCCCTCATAGAACCCTCCTTTGTAGATTTTTTTCTTGGCCTCTTCAAGCTTCTGCCTCTCATTCTGGCTCTTGATCTTCATGTCTATGCAAACTTTCTCAGCAGATTTATCTCCAAATTCAGGCGTGCTAATGATGGGAATGACATCAAATGGTACGACCCACTCGTCCTTCACACCAAACTTGGCCCTGAAAGCCGGTTTTGATTTCAAGTCATGAAGAGCCATAAAATCATCAGGTGAGTCACTGGGAACGCTAGTCACAATCCCAGTACCCTTGTCAGTGAGAATTGACAGCATGGGTAGAGAATAAATAGCCTCGTTGAATGCTAAAGGAGATCTCAAAGGCAAACCAATTAAATCTTTACCACTCAGCTCAACCAAACAAGTAGGCCTTTCTGGAACTCGTGACACTTTCTGATATGCAAGATTAAGAGCTGCCCTTTCTGTCAAGATAAAAACATCAGTTTCATTGATCTCAAAGGCTCCATATTTCCCCTCTGGTAATACCCATGCATTTGTTTGCCCATACATAGTCTCAGGTCTCAATGTTGCAGCTGCAAGATACACTTTCCTGCCCTCCAGAGCTCTCAACTTTGAAGGAAGAGGTGGGATAACCTCCATTTTTATCAGAGTGTATTCTTGGGGAATAACACCTTCCCCTGAAGCCCGATCATGATCAGCGCATGGCTGACCATCTAAGGGGGAATAGATAGTGTATCTCACGTCCTTGACAATTTTCCCCAACTTTTTCAATTTCCTCATCTGCCACCGAACAAACGAGTCAAAAAATGGGTTTATATCAGTCGTGATAAAAGTGCGTCTCCAATCACAACCGAGGCCAAAAGCCTTCAGGTCTTCTACGGCTAGAGGGGGGAAATAAGTCAGCCAGAAATATGGGTCTTGAAACTTGGTAATCTCGTCATCAGAGAGACCATAACTCTGCATTATCTCCCACTGGTACATGTTGCCGCCTGACTTTGCCGCTGCCTTGGACTTCTTGCCCTTAAATATATCCGGTGCAACCTGGTTAGCTTCCTCTGGTTGTGGTTCTGGATCAATGCTTTTCTCCTCTTCTACAGTAGGAAACACGGGTGGGTTACCAAATTTCTGAATCTCACGGCAAAGTTTGTCAGCCGAGGCCTTAATGGGCATCCCAGTACAGTGAAAAGCAAAAGGTAAGAGCACGTTGGCACCCCTCAGACGGTGATAGGCTGCAGCAAACTCAAGCTTGGAGAAAGAGAATGCATGGCCCAAGTGAAGATAACCATTCATGTAAGGGAAAGGGAAGTTCCCAAAGAACTTCTCACCTAATTTGGGAGGCATTTCTAGAGAATCAGCCCTGAAAACTTCTCTCTCTTCCCACCACTTCTGAACCTGAGCCTCAATTTCCAAAAGCCGGTCTCTCCGTGCAAAGCTCTTCCCACTACCAGCGTTTGACGCCATCTCCTCACCAGCTGTTGCCATCTGCTGACCAGAAAATTGACTGAAACTGCACAAAAACAAACAAGGAAACATAATGTTTGTACCGAAAATGACCGCCCTATTTGACAATGCCACATGGTGTTGGTCATTCAAATAAATAGATGCGCATGCTAGTTCTAGTAAGCAAATAGATCTAGGCACAAATGAAAAAAAAAAAAATAGTCGAATTACATTAACGGTCCCTATAATTTGAGACTTATATCACTTTGGTTCCTAACCTTTCAATTGTGATACACTTGATACTGAATTTTGAATCTCGCTCCAAATAAGAATAATTGAAGATCTTGTTGTTCCATTTCAAGGGCAAAGTCGTCTATTTGATAAAATATAGACTAGTTTGACAAAAATAAAAGTCAAAAAATTATTTTTAAATTTTTAAAAATTATTTCTACCCATCAAAGATAAAATTATATAAAAATGATAAATCTTTTACATTTTTATTTTTTATTTTTTTACCAAATTATTTTTTAGTTTGTGTTTGGATAATGATCATGTAAATGGGTGGTTGTTTTTGTTGATATTTCTGGATGATTGTAATATAATAGATCGTTGCATTTGTTAACAGATATTTTTAGATGATTATCATGCAATGGATGGTTATTAGCCTTTTAATGGATTGGTTTAAGAATAATATAAAAGTTGTTGCCATATTTGACTTTTGAAAAAATATAAACTAATTTAATGAAAATAAATATCCTAGAAAATTTATTTCTTCCCTCTCAAAAGATAAAAATATATAAAAATGACGTATTTTTAATTTTTTTCACCAATTTAATTTTTAGTTTCTTAGAAGAAAAAAAAATTGAAAATAGATTTTGAAAACCAAACCAAACATAACTTTATAACTATGAAGCACGGGTACCTAAAAAATGTTACCATACTCGTACCGGGTACTGATACTCGTACCGATAGGGCTGCATGCGTACTGGGTACTCGAAATACGTACCGGGTATTTCTTATATATTCTTTGGCAGTTGGTTACTCCATGGATACTTCATGGGTATAGGATAGGTACATCGAGGGTCCACCAAGTTATGGGACATTGGTGGAGATACGTTTAATTTACTAGAGAGTTTTAATTTACTTGAAATTGCAAATCATTGACTTAATGTGTTAGAGATGAAAGATATATTATTCAATGATGAAATTGATGAAAGTGAAAATTGAAATTTTAGGTTTTCAAATTTTGCCTAGCTCGCTTTTAGAATGAAACTTTGTTTTGTAATTTCTCATATTTAATGGCATTAAAACAATTTATACACTTTACTTTGGTATTGGTATTGGCATTGTTGAACTATAATTTCTCTTTTGGTTTTATAATTTTTTCTTTTAGTTTTGGTATTGAACTTTGATTTGTAGATTGAATCTCAAACTATAAATTAAAAAATAATAATAATAATTTATTGACGTACCCCAGCCGTACTCGTGTCCTATTTGTTTTAGGTCTTTTCGTATCGGCATACCTGTAATGTATTTGTACCAGTATCCGTACCCGCACTCATACTTTATACCTTTATAACCAAGAAAGTTCCAATATTATTCATTTAAAAAAATGCCATAAAATTTCAAATAACATCCAAATTAACCAACACAAAATAAGTTGTATGACAACCCTGCCCTTGAAGTGGACTATTTACAAAGGAAATACCTTTAATTGTCCTTATTTGGAATAAGATTAAAAATTCAATGTCAAATGCATCACAATTGAAAAGCTAGGGATTAAAATGACATAAACCTCAAACTACAGGAAAGGTTAGTAATTTGCCCAAAAAAAAAAAAAAAAAAAACAAATACATACTAAGAAAACTAGAAGCAAAGAAGAATTCAATAGATATTGCTTCATTCAATTATTCATGAGATTCAATATAACACATCTAGACACCAGTTAATAATTACATGACCCATGAGACTGCCATGTCTACAAAAACCAGGAGACATACTGTGATAAGGCCCATAACATTACCCTGTTATGGCAAAAACTAAGATAATTTACGAGCCTTTTAACAAAACATCACAATAACAATAAGATGAGCAACAAAAGAGGTAAAACACACCAACTACATAAATTTGTATAAGGAACAGCTTAGAGGAAACAAACAACGTACAACCCCTTTTTCAGCAGCACAAAAATCACAGTCCCCCAAACCACAGTGACTTATTCAGCCAATATATAAATGTAACAATAATCATCCAACCCATATCAACTTAACTTCATGCAGACAATCAGAACAGAAAATCATATGGCAACACACAGCAACAGTGAATTCCAGCAAGCACTTGTTGCTTATTCATCAGATAGAAAAGGGAATTGACTAGTGAACAAATGCCCACTTCCCAGTTCTTGTGAAATCCAAATTCCAGAACCCAAAAACAAATCTTTATAAGCCAAACAATAAATTCTTGATAATATTGATTACAAAGACATCACAATATTCACATAATTCCAATTTTCATGCGATTGTTCAGAGAATGAATTCAGAGTTTTTCTTGGGGTTTACTGATTTGTTCGTGGGTTTATCCCATAAAGTTATGAAAAGTGATCAAATGGAAACAACTTCAAACTCAAAATGAAAACTCGTACTCGATTTCTGACCTTAGTGTCGACTGTAATTTGTAAAGAGCATCGGTCGAAAGCTTTGGCGGCAGAAGACGTCTTAGGTTCTGAGACGCCACAATGTGTATGTGTTTTATGTTTGTGTTTGCGTGCGTGTGAGAGAGAGATAGAGAGAGAGAGAGAGAGAGAGGAGAGAACGAGGCTTTTTCTACCTTAGTTTGACCACGCCACAGGTCTAGGGCATAAAGGCAAGAATCCTATGCAAATGTGATTAGAAAATAGAGTCGATTCCAATCTTTTATGAGCTGATACGTGTACTCTCTCTGTTTCTATTGGTTTATTCCTCAGACATCGCGTTTAACCTCGGCTACTAGAACCCTAATTTTCTGTTTTAAATCAAATATTTTAATTACAAGTAAATTAGGGGACATTGCAATTATATGGTAAGAAGTCAAGATAATTACAATTAGATGAAAAAAAAAAAACACCATAGATATAAAGTTTAGAAAATAATGAAAAAAAATCAGATTAGTGGTAATTTTTAAAAATAATTATAAATGCATGATAAATTAAATTTTATAAATATTAATAATTTTATAAAATTACCACTTAATAGCAAATTTTTCAACAATAATTGTGACTCTTTACCAAATTACAAAAGCTAATATTCGTTCCTTCTCACCTTTATTAACTTTTGTAAATATTAAGCTAACATTGATAAATAATTAACTTGAATTTGAAGACAATTTTGTTATTATTATAAATAGGCAAAATACTTAGGCCTCGTTTGGCAATAGGCTATTTTAACTAATTAGCCAAAAAGTTACTAAATTAGCCAAAAAGTCAATAACTCATACCAAAAAGTCAAAGATTTTCTTTTCTCTCTACTTTTTGCACATCTTTTCGTAATTAGCCAAAAAGTCATCCCAAACATACAATTTTTTTTACCTACCTTTTTAGCCAAATAATTAAAAAATTACTAAATTAGCCTGTTCCCAAACAAGACCCTTATTTTACCTCCACTCATCCGAATTAGATTTGCACCACCACCTCCGCATACCACTGCCAATCAAATATGAATTTTGTGGAGCTCACAAAAAGGAATCTAATTCTATGAACTACATTTAAAAAAACGGTTTTGGTTGGTAGCTCGAAATTTAGGGAAAGAAAGAAAAGAAAGAAAGAAAATAAAAAAATAAAAAAATCGCCGGTCTGACCGCCAAAACCCGGTTCGGTTCACCGGTTATCCCGGTTCAACCGCCGGTTCTGGCGGTTTTCAATTTCCAGGCCGGTTTTGATCATAGTCCGGTTCTGGAGGGTTGACCGGACCGGAGCCAGGCCCGGTTCCCAGTTCGACCTGTTCGACCGGCCGGTCCGGTCCGGGTTTCACAACATTGCTTGAATTTGAAGACAATTTTGTTATTATTATAAATAGGCAAAATACTTATTTTACCTCCACTCATCCGAATTAGATTTGCACTACCACCTCCGCATACCACTGCCAATCAAATATGAATTTTGTGGAGCTCACAAAAAGGAATCTAATTCTATGAACTACATTTAAAAAAATAATAATAACAAAGCCTAAGATAACTGTGAGAGTAATAAAAGTTAATTTTAATATTATTATTATTTGGGATCAGTTCATATAAAACTCTTACTCTTGTTTTAAATGGAACTTTCGTAATTAGGCGATGATGTTGATCATCGAAATTATTCGAGGTGTGTATAAATTGACGTAAATACTTGGTTATAAAAGATTAACAATAATAGAGAATTTTATTTATTTTAAAATATTGGTAAAAATGTATTGGAAAAACTACCCTTCTATGATTTAAATAAATAAAAAAAAAAAAAATTACTAATAATAACGAAATAATTTTATTTATTTTAAAATATTGGTAAAAATGTATTGGGAAAACTACTATTCAGTGATTCTTTAAAAAATTATTTACTATTAATAAAGAGAGAATTTTATTTATTTTTAAATATAGAAAAAATTACTCTTCATTGTTTTTTTAAGGGGTATTTAATTTAACATCACTCTTCAACTTTTAATAATGGGAGAGGTCCATGTAGTTTAGAGTCTGTATTTTACCCACTCTCTCTCTATACACTTTTTCTCTTTTTCTGACTTCGCCATCGCCGAGCATCAAACAATCATGGTTTCAATTGCCTTGCCTCTGCCACGCAAATCAACAAAGCTTTAATCTCAGTCTCAATTGCCTCATTTTTCAAAATCGCTTGAGTTTCGAATTGTTGCCTTGAATTTGACTATGATTTTGGAGAAAAAAAGAGACTTATGAGAGAGAGAGAGAGTTTGAGTTTTGAAGGTTTTTGATGGGGTCGTGCTTCAACGCCGCACTGGAGTAGTGGTATAGTGCGGCCTCGAGACATGACGGAGTACCTCGTCGGTGAAAAATCGTTTCCTCTCACCTTCGATTATTGGCTGGAATTACTCAAATTTCCTCTCTACCTCGACTAGCCTGCTTATCGCGTTCATCAATTCTTGCTAATTAATTTTATCTGATTGAGTCAAAACACAATTTTCTTTGATTTTGTCAAAAACAAAGAAAATAAAACAAAGAAATTTGTGAGTAAATTAGATAAATTTGTGAGCAAATCAAAAAAAAATTTAAAGCATAGAGAAAATTTGAAAAAATAGAGAAACTAAACAAATTAGATAAATTTCAAAACACATATAATTTTATCTAAGATTTCTTTATGTTTTTATATTTCTCTAGATTAAAATTTATCTGAAAAAATGTTGAGAGAGTCCAACAACTATAAAAATATTGTATATTTTTTATCTTATAAAATTTTAATACCAAAATCTTTAAACAAAATTTTTCATTTTTAAAAGTTATTTATTAATTAATGAAAAATTGTATGACTTCAAAAATCTTGCCAAATGTATTTTATGGGTGCCGTATTCTCGAGTTTCAAATAATTCATCCTTATATAGTGGGTTTTTTTTAGTTGTAGGATATTATTAGAGAAAGTTTTTTTTGTGTTTGCGAAGATAGTTGAGTTTTTTTGTAATTAAATGTAATGTTTGTGAGAGAAAAAATAAAATAATTATGAGATTTAATGTGATATTTTATTTAAATTTATTTTTTTAATTTGAAACCAATTTATCTTCTAGTTAAAAAAAAAAAAAAATACCCAAAAAATTTGTTCCCACACACCGCTTAATTAGTTGTCTAAAATTGTAAATAGAAGCTCCCATCCCAAGTATTCATCGTAAAGTATGAGAATAGTGGTCGGCGGCCCGATGTTGTCGTTGTTGTTGCGTAGGAAGAGGAGTTCACTGCCATGGCTATGGAGAGCAACAACAACAACAACAAGTACAATCAGATCATTCTCTACTACGGACAACAATGGCGGCGATGAGTTTGTTCAGAGCTCCAAGGTCAAAATCTTCGATCGCCATCTCAAAAGCAAACAAGTTTAGTCCTCCCTAACTCTCAAATTTTCCATTTTTTCCCCCTTTCATTTCTGTTGGCTTTCAATTTTACAAACAACATAACTAGGCCAACTGTTCAAATGTGACCCTTGTATTATCCAAAATTACAAAACAAAACAGAACAGAGTTTGTGGGTAAAATGTTAAAAGTTTTTATATCAGAATCAGATAGGTTTCACATTCTTCTGCGTAACAATTGCCTTTCTTCATTTGCAGCGTGACAGAGCAGCATGGTTGATGCGTCCAAAGGATTCTCTTGTTGATGCTGTGGCTGACAATCTACTGGATCGCTTAGAGGTACTCCCTCTGTCCCAAAATAATGGCCCAAAATAATGGCCGGGTTTGGGAATCCAACCATTTTTTTTTTTTTGTTGGTAGTACAATTATTGTATTTTAAAAAAATTAATTTTTTTAAATTACTTTTTTGGGAAATTTTAATATCGTAATTGTATTTTTTATGTTATTAATGAATTTAAAAGAAGGATAAAATAAAAAATTTATATTATTTTTATACTTAATTTTTGAAGGGGACTAATATTCTAGGACAATAAGACAATAAAAAATAGAATAAGACGGAGAGAGTATTTATTGTGTTTGGTTTGAGTTTTCTGGATTAAGTTTTTTGAAAATTGATTTTTTTGGTTTTTGTGTTTTTTTGTTTTTAGTGAATATTTTTTAAATTTTAAACATTTTTTTTTACTTTTTTATATGCACCTTACTTAGATGTATCTAAAAAGTAAAAAATTTATGAAAAAATATTTTAAAAAATTACTAAATACATAAAAATACAAAAAAATGTACTGAATTCTTGTATTTTTGGTATTTAGTGAATTTTTAAAAGATTTTTTTAATAATTTTTTTACTTTTTAGGTGTATTTATGTTAGGTGTGTCTAAAAAGTAAAAAAATTGCTTAAAATATTAAAAAAATTCAGTAAAAACAAAAAAACACGGAAAATAAGAAAGTAGAATTTTCTGAAAAGTGTTTTGGAAAACTGGAAACCAAGCAAGGTGATTAAGTTTTTTTTCTTACTCAAGATATTGTCTATCTTTTAAATAAGCTTCCTTTGGAATTCGACTTATGTATATGATTCTGAAAACTAAACAACTGTTGGTTTTAAAGAATCCTAGATTCGTCTCGTCAAAAAAGAAAAGGAATCTTAGGTTCTTGCAGTGCCTTACAAATTTCCTGCCATATGGGAGCATGGATTGGGATACTTGAGGTGTATTCTCTTGTGTTTTGAGGCTTTTTTGGGCTTGAAGATGATGAACCTTGGAAAATTGATTTTGATTCCAGTTGGTGAAGTACATAATAGTGATGGTCTTGCCTCCATTTTGGGTTATAGAGTGGAAACTTTGCCTATTACATACTTGGGGCTTCCTTTGGGATCGACTCTTAGGTTGTATTTGGATCTTGGTTTTGTGGATGGAAAAGTGAATAAAGTAGAAATTATTTATTTTATTTTTTTTTTCACTTTTCTCTCTTTTTGTCCTTCTCCTTTATTTCCCTCTACAAATTCAAGATCTAAACACAACATTAAGGTCAAGCATGCGTGGGATTCGATTATAGAGAGATTTCAGAAGTGGTTAGCTTGGTGGAAGAGAAAACAGTATTAATGGGGTTAGGTTTAATTTCTTAAGAGTATTTCCCAGCTGGCCCACCTATTTTATGTCTCTGTTCACCATTATTGGCTCAGTGGTTAAGAGGCAGGAAAAGTAGCAAAGAGATTTCATTTGGTAGATTGGGATACAGTTTGTACCTCTATGTGAGAGTTAGGGCTGGGGATTTGACAGACTTAGTTTTTTCAATCAAGCTCTTTTGAGGAAGTGGTTATGAAGGTATGCGTGTGAGCCAGATAGATTTTGGAGGAGGATGGCAAAGGCAAAATATGGGTACATGTGGCTGATTGGATGTGTTTGGAGGTTTCATTGTCTTATGATGTCGGCCTTTGGAAGGGTATCAGAAGGGATGGATATGACTTCTAGTCTCATACGAGGTTTGTGTTGGGAAATGGATCAAAGGTTTAGTTTTGGCAGCATCTTTGGTGTGGAGAGGAATGAGTATATTCGTGAATGGGTAAGAGTAGTACTAATAGAAGATAAATTGAGAGACAATAGATTGAGATGGTTTGGTCATATACAACGGAGATCAACAGAGGCAGTAATGAAGAGATGTGATACAATGACGGTAGATGGAATTGTTAAGGGAAGGAGTAGATCTAGATTGACATGGGTTAGTATAGTAAATAGAGATATGAATCTCCTTAATTTGACTAACCAAATGGCCGTTGATAGAGTTGAGTGGAGAAGAGAGATTCATGTAGCCGACCTCATTTGATGGGACTTAAGGCTTAGCTTGGTTTGGTTTGGTTTGGTTTATGTTCTTAACCTACAATGACTCATATTATGCAGAAATTTGTTGATCAAAAATATTATACGGAAATTCTCTTAACAATCTTTTATTGAAATTCCCACACTAACTTATGATAATTACCTTATATGAAATTTGAGAGATATAGGCTGTATAAGGCATTTCAGGAGAGCTTTACTGGTCAAAAGGTTGTTAACATGTTTAGGTTCAATATGATTAAATAAATCCCAAAGAACATATTTTAGAGAATTCCGTGGTGTCACATTACTCGTCTTATACAAGAGGTGCTTAAATGTTAGAACCTATTTTGGAACTCTGGTATGAGAGGTTTTCCATGCCTTGAAATGCAATTACCTATTTGAATTCTCTTTTTTGGAATTTCAGCCAACAATTTTTTTATTTTATATGGGAGTTTGAGATGTTTTGCTTTTTCTTTTTTTCAACCTCTCCCCACCCCCTAACGGGCGCTCTTCCCTACTCCTACACTTTTTTATGTTTTTTCACGACTTCTGATGTGCTTGTAGCATCTAAATCAACTTTTCATACAAGTAAAATGCACCTCCTCATAGAAAACTCTTCTGCCCATTTTGAGGTATTATATCTGGAATTAAGCATGCATACTTCTTAATGAATGCTGACAATAACTTTTATGGTTTCAATTTCTTATACACGATGGTTATAAGAAAAATTTCACTGTGAAAGTCCCTAGAGTATCTTCTGTTGCATCTTTTGTGCTAAATTTATATGTGTTATGTTTTTGTAGGATTGCAAAAAGACATTTCCCACTGCACTATGTTTGGGTGGTTCCTTGGAAGCTATTAGGCGTTTGTTATGCGGGCGCGGTGAGAGTTCAATTTAATTTCTGTGAGTATTGAACATGTCCATTTTGTGGATGTATTTGCCATGTACACATGAATACTGTATGAAAAATCATCCTTAAATAATGGGGGTCTTGCCTCATCCATGAGAAACTAGACAAAGATAACCAAGACAGAATTAGTTTTTACATCCCTGTATGAAAAGCAATAATTTCTGTATGAAAATCATCCTTAAATATACTCGTTCTTTAGTCCTAAACTGTATGTTCATCTGACCAAATTAGTTTTTACGTCTGGCATTTGGAAAAACTATTCCTTCATGCATGGAAATTTGGCCTAAGCACAATTAATGGAAACATGGTTTACTGCCATTGATTGGACAAAAGAGCTTGCATCTAAGCTTGGGAATTCTTGCAAAATATACTGACTTAAAACAGTCTCTTATGTCAGGTGCCATCGAAAAGCTAATTATGATGGATACATCATATGATATGGTGAAATTGTGTAAGGATGCTGAGGAAGATGCTTCCAACAAAAACATTGAAACATCATTTGTGGTCGGTGATGAAGAGTTTTTGCCTGTAAAAGAAAGGTATGCATGGACAGCAGTCTGTGTGAATTTTAATATCATGGGCTAAGATGATATATAGAGGGAATATATATTCTCCCCGTGATGGTTTGTACTTGTGGAATTGAAGTTCTGTAGATCTGGTGATTAGTTGCTTGGGACTCCATTGGACAAATGATTTGCCTGGAGCCATGATACAGGTGTGTGCTTCTTATCTTACCAAAAACAAAACAAAACAAGAAAGTATTTGAACTACTAAAACTAAGCTACCAATATTTTACCTGTTCTTGTTGCATTTATAGTTCTCTCTCTCTCTCTCTCTCTCTCTCTCTCGGAGCAGATTGAATTAGAAACAGGTATTCTTTACTGGGCACTTGACACTGACATCATGTGTGTTTTATTTTTGACAGAGTAGACTTGCATTGAAGCCTGATGGCCTATTTTTGGCAGCTATTCTTGGTGGAGAAACGTTAAAGTTGTTTATTCTATTTTTTTTTATTTTTTTTAAAAATCTAAAACTAATGCATATTTTGATACACAAAATGTCTAATTGTTTTCCATTTTCCTTGAATTGTGACCAGGGAGCTGAGAATAGCATGCACCGTAGCACAAATGGAGCGTGAAGGGGGCATCAGTCCACGGTTATCACCCTTGGCACAAGTATGTATTTTGCTGCACACTTCCCCTCCTTTTTGCATGTGCGCACATAATTGTTTTTCTGTGCTCACGTGGATTTAATTTCCATGGTTTATTTTATGAGGGACAAAAATCTTCAGAATTTCCAATGTTAGAACTAAAGAAGTTACATAATCATGATAAGCCACAAAATGTCTATAGTTTCAATCATCTTAAACTTTCTAGTAAACTTTTACATACTTGTTTGGTTTTCAATTTCTATAGTTTCAATCATCCTTTTATCTTTCATTGAACTGAAGTTTCTGGTTCTTTTATTTAGGTGCGGGATGCGGGCAATCTTTTGACTAGAGCAGGCTTCAATCTTCCAGGTGTTGATGTTGATGAATACACTGTTAAATATCCAAGTGGTGAGCTTTTTTGTCCTGTAGTTTGATGAATACAGTGGTAGAACAAACAAGCAAAAGTTGCATTTTAATTAGATGATGTTGGGCCTGTTTGTTGCAGCTTCTTGCAAGATGAAAGCTGATAATATAAGCTAAAAGCTCCTCTCCCTCAGCTTCCTAATAATAAGTTTTTTTAGCTTATTTAAGGTATTTTTGCCCCATAAGCTGTAAGTAGAAGCTATACCAAACACTCTAGCACAAACTCTCAAAATATAAAAGCTAAGCAACCCTATAAGTTGCACAGGACAGAGCCGTTATCCATGTGATCATTTTGAATAGATAATCTAAAAAGCATGGATGTGGACATGGGATATAGTCGTAATGCGATATAGACACGCCAACATGGAAATCAAATAACAAAAGTTCATTTCATTTCCATCAAACAGACAAAATGTTTCTATTTCTATCAAAGCATAACGAAACACACCAAAACTCATCGAAAGACAACAAAGCAAATTGAAACGGTGCATTGTTTCTATACAAATCAGGATCCTCAAACAAAATTGTGTATGTTTTCCTCTTTTTGTCACTAAAAATAAAAAGATTTGAGAACAAAGAAAACATATAAAATTTGATTGAGAATATGAGAATGTAGAATTGAGAAAAGGAGAGATAAAGAGAGAGAAAGGGTACATGATTGAGCCATTTAATCTCTTTCACTGTTATCACAGGTACCTTTTTGTTTCTTCTTCTTCTTCCTTTTTTTTTCCTGGTCAACATTACTTTTTAAAAGTAATCATTTTCTTACTTCTCTTACAATGCCCCCTCAACCCAACCCTTTATTCTTAATCATTTTCCTGGTCCACATTATTCTTAATCTTATTAAAATATTAATTTAATATTGTTTGCAAAAAGAGGTCCCTACCTCTCGGCATAAAATCCTCCTGTAAAAATGTATCCCCAAATGTTTCTAATATAAATAATGAATGTACAAATGGATTCTCTCAGGGCAGAGATTATGTACTTTTTTATTGAAAAAGAAAAAAAACAAATGGATTCTCTCAGGGCAGAGATTATGTACTTTTTTATTGAAAAAGAAAAAAAACAAATGGATTCTCTCAGGGCAGAGATTATGTACTTTTTTATTGAAAAAGAAAAAAAACAAATGGATTCTCTCAGGGCAGAGATTATGTACTTTTTTATTGAAAAAGAAAAAAAACAAATGGATTCTCTCAGGGCAGAGATTATGTACTTTTTTATTGAAAAAAAAGAAGGATTCTCTCCTATATTAATAATTAAGATCGGGGCATGTTATAAAAATGTTGAATTGATATTTTTTTTTTTCCTTCTTCCGAACAATGTCAGATGTTGAAGAGAGAAACAGCGCTAGCAACTGCATCTGTTTACGAGTCAATGTTTGCTGCAGAAGATGGCACCATCCCTGCTACATTCCAGGTGACACACAGTAAAGCACTTCTTAGAGAACAATAGTTTTTTTTTTTAATCAATTGTATATTGTTAATTATTTTCATTTTATATCACCGATGAAACACAAGACAAGAATATTACAAAAATAAATGTAATATGTGAGGCCATGCAGGACCTCTATTGTTTTTCTTTTAATAAATAATAAATTAATGTTATAACATGCCATTTATTACCTTTACATACAATTTCTTGTGTAAATGCTAAATGAAAACTAATAATTTTTTCTGTGCTTGTATGGCCCTAAGATGTCACGGAACTGCTACTCTATATCTATTGTTTCTTATTCTTTGTATATATAAGGTAGCATTGTACTAGAATAATCAAATTGTTTTGCTCTTGCGTTCGGAGAATATTCATTGACCAGCTTGATGACACATTGGCACTGATATTGTCTTGCTTATAACAATCTAGTAGGTGGGGTTTCAGGGATAACCCATTGAATGAAACTGGGGACTATTATCTTGGCTACATAAGACAAAATGATTGATCACGATCTAAATGTCCTTTTCCTTTTCCCTTGTATTGCTGATTTTTAGCCGTTAAGTGTAAACAGCCATTTACAAGTTGTTGAAATACTGGCTTCCATTGGTATTCTGAGTCAGAATCTAGACCATGCCTTTTGATTATATGCCTGACACATTTGCTAGAGTTCCTTCATTGAGAAGTTTGTATTAACAAATCTTTTTATATCTAATCCAATGAGTTTTTCATTCTAATGAAAAAGCTGAAAAACCTTGAATTTGTATGGCTTTGTTTTCCTGTGTTCTTGGCAACCAAGTGGAGTACCAATTTCGGTTCTTTTTCTGCTTTTAGACTACTTATTCTATGTAATCTTATTCTTGATTAGAACACTAATCACAAGATAGTGAGAGAATTATTAAATTTTTTTTTGGGTTTTTTTTTAAAGTTCTGAAAGTGTGTTAATTTTCTTGTGCAACCCTGGATTTGTAGGTTATCTATATGACAGGGTGGAAGGAACACCATTCGCAGCAGAAGGCTAAAAGTAGGGGATCTGCAACAATATCATTTAAGGACATCAAGAAGCAATTTAGTGATGGTGGTAGTAGCGGCTGACTGTCTCTCTCTCCCTCATTTTGTTTCATCAGTGTCCCATTTTTTCTTTTACTTGTCAATGCATCTGTTTACACAAATGTTTCATCCTCGTCGAAGTGAATGAAATTGGAAAAAAGGAAAGCCTTGAGAACTTAGTGACGGACTGGTCAACAATAATTCCAAATGAAAACTTATGTCCTACGCATTCTAGTTGTTGATAAATTAGTGTATTTGGATCTAAGATTTGAAGAGAGATTTGCGAATGAAAAATAGAAGCAGAGGAAAATGTGTAAAAATTTAACTTCTACTTCATGCAATTTTTCCGACCTATTTCATTAATCTGCAAAATTCTCCTGAATTTCTTCATCTAAACACAATCTCAGGGAATTGCAAATTTCGTGTCAAATGGTTGCAAATATGAAAACATTGTGGAGATGTTCTTGTGATTTGCCATGGCATTTGGAAACAAATTGGATGCCTCCCAACTAGGTTGGAGTTATGAAGCCCTCCCCAACTTGATGCTTCAGTTTGTTTGAACCCTGGTTTTTCCCACCGTCCATTCTGTTGGAAATTACTTAATTTGCTATCTTCTTTATGACTATGGCTAATGGACATCTTTTTCATTGTACTTTCTCCATCACTCTTTCAGGGTGCGTTTGAATCATAAATTTGAGTAGAAATTTAGAAAAAAGAGAAGGCCTAATGATTCGCATTGTGGTTTCTATACCATTTTTCAAGGTCTTTAATGTATATTCTCTATTTGAATTGTTAACAAAATTCCTTTTCAGCTCTTTGTCCTAGCCATAATATTAACATCACATCACATCTTTTTTTTTTTTTTCTCTTCCTCTTCATGATTCAAATGAATATGTAACTTTTGACGCAGCGGAATGATAAAATAAATAGTAGATCATCCAATCAATGAAAAAGAAAAAATGATGCATAGAATACGCTACAGATTTTATATTACATAAGACAATATTATTTAAAATTGTGGGAAAAGAAAAATAAATGATTATTGAAAAAAGAGTAAGAAGGAAGAATGGAAGAGGGACAAAGTGTAACAAAAAAATAAGAAAGGACAAAGAGGAGAGAAGTCGAGATACAAGTTATTATTTGTTTATTATTTTACTTTTAAATTTATGCATTTTTTTGGCTTCAATCGAGTGAGCAAAATTAGACCACTTGGGGTTCAATATTCACTACTTGCACGGTTTAATTCAATTTTCTAAATTTTGAGAACCATCGAATTTTTCAAATTATTTTATAATCAAACAAACCGAGTTGTGTACACTCGTAATTTAGGTAGTCCTTACATTCCCAATTGAAATACAAAAACTTTAATTTCTTCCTCAATGTGAATTAGTGTTTATGATATATATCCCCAAGTTGGGTTGTGTGAACTCTTGGAAGGAATAAAAGTCGGCAAAATTTAATTCAAGAAATACAAGAAAATTTCATTAGGAGGACCATTCTTCTAATTTCTTTATTTTCTAGTTGGTAACCCGTGCTTGCATAAGCAATTA